TGTAAACTGATGAAGTTTTGGAGTTTGGGTTTGATGGATTTTAATAATTATAATATTTTGCGAATTCTATTCTTAGTTCTCTCTAGCTTTAATTTCATTTCTTAATTTATTTTGTATTCCGTGTTCATTATAAAATATTAATTGTTTGATATTCCCTCGGGTTTGGGCCTGGGCCTGATCAACCCATGTCTCGGATCCGAGGGGTATCACACAGCAGTACAGAAAAAAGAACAAAAATGGAAAAAGAAAAGAAAAGGTTGATGTGATGTCACCTTTTTATAGGACCTAAGATTGTATTTGCCACAACAGTAGTTGAAATTATATAGAACTTAAATACGGTGTCGTTCAACTCAAGGACTAAAAAATAATTTACTTTTTCCGTTAACAGCTTATTAACTTTTGCAACAAAATGATACTTTAGGGGGTTTTACTTACTTCAGGGGGGTTTCTTGCAATCGGGTAATAGTTTAGGGGGGTTTAGTGCACTTTACCCAAGAAAAAAAGAGCAACACCAATTAGGATAAAATAGGGCATGTAGACATGGAATTTTTGGCTTCTAACTTGTATATGAGAATAAGAATATAAATAATAAAAGGAAAACAAGAGGAAAGAACTGAACGATTTTACAAAAGAGAAAAGAGAACACAAACAACACAGATCAGGGCATCATGTAAACATAGAATGATAAAAAAAAAAGAAAAAAAAAAAAGAGAAAAAGAAAATATAAATGAAATATGATACTAGAGGGTATGATCGAGAATCTCTTTCTACTCAATCAATCACTTGGTTGCTCGATCTCCTTCTATTTGTCGCTTCGCTGGATCTCTTTCTCTATTTGCCTCACTCTTCTTTCTCTCTTCGCTTCACTCCAGATCTATTGTCTATTGACCATATAATTAAAACTATGGGTGGGTCTGAGATATTATTTGAGAGGTACTAATACGTTGGCTACTACATAATATGATTGTGCAACCTATTGATCTAATGGTACATAATCACTGATAAATTTTCTAATGGTGTATAATTAATACACACATATATATAATATTAATATAAATATATTATTGTTACATATGTAATTTTAATTCGGATCGAATTGGTAAAATCTATATCCGATTTGTTAAGCAAACGGGTTATTAGATTCGGATCATAAACGAGTTATCGAATTTTTTGTTGAATCCATATCCGCCTAATTGGCAAGGGTGGCTCGAGCTTTAGGTGAGTTAGGCGGCCGTCTAAGGCCCCATTCAATAAAAATGCCCTAAAATATTATAGTTACCTTATATATGATATATATTGTAATTGTTTCTGTATTGAACACTAATTCTAAAAAATTTATCTCCTAAAATAACTCTTCTTTTTTTGTTTTCTCTCTCCTTATATTCACACCTTTTCTTTAAACTTTAGCGAAGAGAGAAATTATTTATCTCCTTAAATATCTCACACATTTTTTTTTTTTTTTTTTACACCAGCACTATATATATTTAATATTTTTTCGGTAAGTTGCACCACAACAAATATTTAGCCGTTATATGGGGAATCGACTTTTTTAGATTTTTATTTTATTTATTTATTTTTTCTTATTCTTCCTCATGTTCATTCTGATTTCTCTCCTCTCTCAGCAGTCTCAACAAGTTGCTCAATATTTATTAGTCTCAAATCTCAATTTGAATGCACTTTTATTTTATTGAAAAATTTGCAGCAGCAGCATTGAATTGGGATTTTCTAAATTAGGTTATATTGTTCTTTTTTCTTAATTATTTTTTAGTTTTACTAACTTTTGTTATTATAAATTTGTATATATCTATATTTTTCATATACTTGTATATTTGTTTGTGAGGCTCTTGTGACTATTTTTACCCATATTTTTTAATATCTATGCTAGAAAGTATGAATCCGGATCTAAGAAGAAGAAGAAGAAGAAGAATAGATAAACTAATTCAATCTCAAAAGGGAGCTATTGATAAATTTGTTATAACTAATAATCAAAACCTAACAAAAAATTTAAATAAAGTTTAGCAAATGAACAATCAAATTATCTAAAAGAATTAGAAGATTATACAATAGTGAAAGGAAAAAATACCAGTAATTTGATTCACAATAAAATCGTATCTACGATCAACTATGTCGCGAGAAAGATTAAATGGATTGGCTATATTGTTTATTGTAAAAGATATTTTAACCACACTTAAATATAAGAATTTAATTAGTAAGTTTGCATCTCAAAAAGCAAAAAGAAAGATTTTTAATTAATTATTATTTAATAATTAATATATTGCATATTATGATATAAAAAAGCGGAGCTGCCCTTACTAATCGGATCGAATTCGAATCAAAATCTGATTCATTAACAAGTCTACCACTATGCCCTTGAGGGTAATAGAGCTAATGGAACCAAGTCACAAGTAACATTGTGGTGCATTAGATCACCTAGAGTATGTGAAAATGAGTCAATGTGACAATCTTGTGTAACAAACTAGATTTCATTAATCCGTGGGAATTATAAGAAGAATAGAATAGAACTATTTGACCTATATATTTATAATCTCTTCTTGGTAAACGGTCATACGTAGGGCTAGTAAATGTCCAGGCCTTCCTCGCCTCATTGGCCCAACAACGAGAGGGCCGGAATTTTACACCCCCAAGTAAACCTTCTCCATTAACCTTCTACAGATACCTCCCTCTCTCTCTCACACACACACACGCACGCTCTCACTCTCTCTCTCTCTCTCCCCATGTATATTCGCAGCTACTTCACATTCAAGGTATCCAATTAACAAAAATAGTGATTTCGAGTTATAAAAATAGTTTCAGTTCATGATCTCGCTTTGCTGTGAACTTTCCACCACTTTCTCGGGAAAATTTATTTGTTTTGCTTACTTAAAAGTTAAAAGTGCGTGCTAAAATATCATGTGTTTTTCTTGCTTTCAAGGCTTATGAAGTCAATATTATAATAAAGTCAACCACACTGTTATCTAAGCTTTAATTAGACACCACATTTGGTTGACTTATTTCACTTATTTGCAGGCAAAAGTCATAGTTTGCACTCTTGTCAATGCGACCTGTAAGTATTAATTTTCTGGGAATTAAGAATTTAGATTGTTGAAACCATTCTTTTATTACTAACTTTTATGTGTTTGGCTGATTCAGCTATTTATATTTATTTTGTTAGTAAAGATTTTATTATCAAAACTATAAAATATAACAAGATTCAGAATTCGAAATAATGAGTTTACATAATCTGAACAAAGAACTGTAGATATAATATTATACATGTTGACATTGAAATAGTCATGTTGAAGGAAAGACATAATATTCTCTACAATGACTGGTTTGACTTTGACTTTAAAAGGCCGTCTGCATCAGTCTTTTCGAATTTTGCCTCTCTAAAAATGCCACATCATCTTTTTCAAAAATCATATCAGCAATTTCAAGAGCCACGTCAGCAGTTTTTGCTCTTCAAAAACATGCACTTCATCAGGCTCTCCGAATTTTCGCTCTCCAAAAAAAATAATAATAATAAATTAAAATTATTATTATTTTTTTAACTTTTTCTAAACGGTTATATTTTTAACGGCTATATTTTTAAAATTTGAATTTTTAACGACTATATTTGTAACGGCTATATTTTTAAAATTTGAAAAAAAAAAAACTATATTTTTAAAATTTGATTAAAAATAAATAAGAATTACAAAATAAGTATTACAAAATAAGAATTAAAAATAATGAATTGGAATAAGAAAATAAGGATTACAATTTAAAGCAAAAAAAAAAAAACAAAAAAAACAAATTTTAAGGAAAAAAAACAAAAGCTGTTTCAGTTTATTATTGGCCCAAATAAATTTTTTTAAGGATTACAAAATAAGGATTAAAAATAATGAATTGGAATAAGAAAATAAGGATTACAATTTAAAGCAAAAAAAAAAAAAAAAAAAAAAAACAAATTTTAAGGGAAAAAAACAAAAAAACAAAAGCTTTTTCAATTTATTTTTGGCCCAAATAAATTTTTTTTTAAGGATTACAAAATAAAGATTAAAAATAATGAATTGGAATAAGAAAATAAGGATTACAATTTAAAGCAAATAAAAAATAAAAAAAAAAACAAATTTTAAGGAAAAAAAACAAATAAAACAAAAGTTTTTTGAATTTATTTTTGGCCCAAATAAATTTTTTTTTTCGATAAATAGTGCCTAAACAATATATATATATTTTAATGAATTTTATTTTAATTTTTTTTTCCTAAAAGGAGCTAAAAATAACCTATTTTTAGGTTTTTCAAAAAAAAAAAATATGCCAAACAGTGCCTTAAAGGCACTGTTTGGCGCACTGTGCACAACTGGCTAATAAGACAAAATAGCGGCAGCCCAAAACGGCGCCGTTTTGATGCAACAAAAAACAAAAAAAAAATTTCAACGATCGCGGGCCGGCTAGCTGCAGACCGCGAGCCCGTTGGACTTCAAACAGTCCATTTGCTCGCTGAAATTGGGCTCTAAAGAGCCCACTGCGGATGCTCCAAGGAGAAAGAAAAATGAAAAATCATTAGATTTAATATCTTGAAACTAGCATTGTAGATGATTTGTTTGGCATATATACATATAGGTCACATCTTAGAAACAGATAGCATGTGACAATCAATTATTCTAGGACTATTTTAGGATATAGGTACAATTACGAATAAAAAAGACTAGTCCACTGTATGAAACTCCTGTCAGAGTATGGGAATAGTCAAATGTACGTAACCTTGTCTCCGCATATGAAAAAACAGTCGTTTCTCGTTTTGAACCCCTAACGTTCAAGTACAATAGCGAATGTGCATTTTAGAAGGTTGCATTGAATTTATTTTCTTATTCTAAGGGGGGACAATAGGGTGTAAGTTATATGCTTGGCTTGGGCATTAAGATTTTCCCACAGGAGTGTTTGGTGGAAAAGAAAGAACATTATAGTCCTCTTTATGTGGTTCTTGAGTCACCAAATTTGGCCTTTCTACTTGCTTTCACCTATAAATTAAACCATAGATCAAGAAATCTTAAGTATTCAATTAAAGGATACAACAAATAATATATGCACAAGGGAAATACAACTTCAGGAACATTATATATACATACAGATAGCAGAAGCAACACCGAACACCATAATTCTCGGTGAATTATGCTTAAAACTTACAGTAATATGTTACAAATCGATTGATGCAGTTTTGTGCTATGAAAGAACAGAATGAACTATATAGCAAATCACTATTAGTTAATACATCTAAAAGAGCTAAAAATCACATTAACGAATAATACTCTCTACACAGGTGGGAGTATGTCCCTATAAATCCGTCCTCCTTGACCTGGAGTACAAAATTAATATCCCCTAGGGTGGTAGTCCCTCTGCATTATCTGTGCTCAATGAGATATCTCTCGGCAATGGTAGCGTGAGCTGCAGCGCCTATAGGGAGAACATCTTCGTCGATCATGAAGTGAGGGGAGTGGCCTGTGTGTATGGAACCCAGTGTTTCATTCCTTATGCCAATGTAGTAGAAGGCTGCGGGCACCACTTCTGAGAAGAAGGAGAAATCCTCGGCTCCCATCATCGGTGGGACCACTCTGAAGTTCGTCGGTCCTAACAAATCAATAGCCACCTTCCTCACATGTTCATACATGTGCTCGTCATTCACTGTGGGAGGATAAATTGTGTACTCTTTCTCAAAGAAGTCAACTGTTGCCGAGCATCTAAAAACTCTGGCTTGTTCTACAATAACCTGTTGGGGATAATTTAGATCGTGTCAGTTTGATTCCGGAGGAAAAGATAGGCGGTGATTCTAATTTCAAGTGTTGAACAAACCTCCTCTATTCTTCTTAGCAATTGGTAAAAGCTTGTGTTGGAAAATGCTCTAAAGGTGCCACCAAGGACTATGGTATCCGGTACCATGTCAAGATTATCGCCTCCATTGAATGAAGTCACAGACACCACCTGCAAGTGGAACTCAGTTAGCAACCAACACGCGCGCGCACGCACACACACATATTGGGAATTTAGAAAGAGGGAGAGAGTGTGTGTTACCTTGTTCCTTAGTTTTTAATCTTCCTAATCACACTGCTCAATAATTTTCTAGTAGTTAATGTAATACATTTTTTCCCCCTGAAATTTGTTGGCATCTTATCTTTTTAGTGATTGTAGCTAAGCATGTTGAACAACTAGTGTGTGTGCACGAGCGCGTGTGCGTGTGAGAGAGCCATCATCAATCATTCCATGAATTTTAATCTTTCTAATTATGCCGCCTGGTAATTCTCTCTAGTGGTTGATGTCGTCACTCTTTCTGATTCCATTACCATCCAATCTTCCTTGTCATGGTGGATGGTGTGACAAATTTGTCTGGTCCCATTGAGGTTCTATCCTTCTCAATTATAATCATGTTGTCTATGCACTAGATTCCGTTTACAAGTAGAACTCACAAATATCTACCCTTTAAGTAGCAGAATTGATGCAATCCGTTGTCAGATCAGTACTCGAAAAACTCTTAAGAGTCTTTCATGTACATCTTTTTTTTTTGATAAGTATCTTTCATGTACAACATCTATCAATCGAATAAGTTATTTTTCCCCTACTTTCTTAGAAATAAAAATTCTAGCTATGAAAAAAGTAAAACCTGAGAGTCCATTGGATTTGCTTCACGAGACACAATCCCCTGTAAGCTGATTACAGCAGCCGAGGCAGCTAACATAGGATCAACAGAACGGTGTGGATTCGCTGCACGACCCTCTTTCCCACTAATTACTGCTCTAAAAAAGCCACACCCTGCAAGCAAAGGACCAGGCCTTGATCCGATTATAGCGGTTGGATGCTCATGAGATACATGAACCGCGAATATGGCCTCCACGTTTTCTAGAGCCCCATCTCCGATCATCCGTTTTGCACCATTACCAGCTTCCTCTGCTGGCTGGAAGAGCAGTACTACTGTCCCCTGTGATAAGAATGGCACCAACTAGTCAGGAATTTTTTGCCTTATTAGTTTTGTCAATCAAGTTATTGTCTTAGAAAAGGTTGTTATTTGGGAACTTGTCTTACACATAGTTTAGTCATGTAGGTTGATTTATCATAAAAATCTCTCAGTTTTGTTAATTTCCATCTTTTAGGACTTTAATAGTTCTCACACACAGTTCCAATAAAAGCAAGACGAGCAACTTATTGTAATCTACAAGGTGATTTTTGAGTTTATCAATTGGCTATTTATCGAGAGAGGCTTTCCTATACCGGTGATACTATATTATCAGTGTCATCAACCAATTATATCTTGTCACGCCAGTAAAAATGCATTTACCTGTCAATACGTGTCAGCATTTAATCAGTCTGTGATGCCATGTCATTAATGTTCCTGGAGAATTAAAGTATTTTTCCTCGAAACGGGTCATGTGCATATGATTCAAGGGGCTTTTTTTCAACAAAAATGCTAGGCAACTTACCCAAAAATATTATTTTAAAAGCATGAAATTTATTTTGGACTCCTTTTGATGTGAAAAATGTTTTTCACATTCTACACAGACAGATAAATAGAAGATTTTGGACATCCTACAGAAACAAAACAAAGAAGGATAACATGACAGAAGTCAGAATGTGTAATGAAGCCAAAGCATGTCTCATCTCAATAAAATAGAATTTATTGTCTTTTAACTTTTAACCAGTAAAAGACAAGACAATAAAATGTTTTAGGGTTAGATCCAAAAGTGGCAGTAAATGCCACCAAGTTCACATCAGATCAACAAGGAAATTTTAAAGCTTTATCCATGTTATTTTTTAATTTTTTTTTGAGAATCAATGTTGTCCATACAAAATGTGAGCCCTTATTTGAAAGTAAGTGAAATACTAGACCTTTGAACTATCTAAAACCAACCAAACAAAATGGTTTCATGATCATAACATGAAGAGGACGATATTAGAGAACTTTTCACTATCTTTAAGATTTTAGGGTCACAAACTCTTGGTTCTCTAAATTACATGGTCCTATGATATCTTAATTCTATAGAGGTTGAGATGAGAGTACCATTCACTGTCTAAGAGAATTAGAATCACACATTCCTGTGAGTTCTTGTGTCACTTTCCTTAAAACAAACCTATTTCTGACATTTCAAAAAGTGATAGACAACGTGGAGCCATGCAAACAAGACAGGTCTCGTCGAGGAATCTGGATCCTATCTTGTATGTTGAACGATCCATTTCACAAGAGAGGGTGAAGATCACTCCCACATGTGATGGGGGTCCCCTAATCCATGGTTAAAGTCCTCGCATTGATGAAAGTGAGATATTTATGGGTCCCACTTTTTATGAACCTAAGGGCTCTCAACCATTGAGCTCTTATCTTGGGGCAGTAATTACACCCTCTGTGTCAAAATGTAAATGTCTAAAACAACCTCAAGAATTGAACCTTTACAATTCCAACCCATATCTACTGGTTTTAGAAGAATGCTTTACAAGCTCTGCAAACAATGTGTGCCTAAATTGGTGACTGTGTGATTGTGTGTGAAAATTCTTCATCCAAAGAGGAATAGTTATAGGACCATGACAAGATAGCATAGGCACTACTATTGTGCCATTATGTTGCCAAAACTAGTCAATCTGGAGAAAAAAAGGCCTTTAGAGTTTAGGGTCATGTTGAGCTATAAAAGAAGCTGTGCACTTTTATCTCAATCAATATTGTCCATCAAAAGTGATGGCTATATAAAAAGGTATATAGCATAATAACTAATTCACAACAATAGACTTACTTTTTAGACCAAAAAAGTAGCATATTGTTGCAATTATGTGTAGCAAAGTAAGTATATGATTCTCAAGAACACTTCATGTGCTTTGACGCCAATCAGATCTACACATTGTACCACATAGAGAGGAATAATAGAATCTTGAAATTAATTTATTAAAGTTCTAAACTAAGCAACATTCTACATCTAATAAGATATGACATTTAATAACAGAAAAAATAGGTAAATCCAATTGAAAAAAATAAAATAAAATAAAATTTTGATTTGGAGATGAAATGAAAAATAAAATTAACCTTCAAGTGATGTTCGCGACTCTTGAGAATCTTGGCTGCCCCGATGAGCATGGTCACGTGCGCGTCATGCCCACAAGCGTGCATTTTTCCAGCATTTTTGCTTTTGTGCTCCCATTCACCAGCTTCCTATAACCAAACACTCTAATCATCAACCAAACCAAAAAAAAAAAAAAATTGTCACTCCATCAAAATTAACTGCAACTCATAAATTATTGTACCCTTAACCTCTTTTCCAAACATGGAGGTGCCCTTAAATATGGATAAGGGCACATGTCCCAAACCACGTGTACTGAGTTAGTCCAAAAAAAAATATCCGAAATGCCCTAAATTGAGAGTCAATAAATAACCTCCTCTTCACGAAACGTGATCATATTATGAACAAAGTAACTAAAAAATAACTTCTGCTTCACGAAACGCGATCGTATTTCCGCATACCACTCATTTAAGCTCTTGGATTACCATAGTAGACATTAATATATCAATTTGATTATATCATATATATTTTTTTATATAAATTTATATATTTATAACAAAAACTGATCAAGACTTCTATCATAACATAAATTTAAAACCTGAATGGGGAGGGCATCCATGTCGGCTCTGATGGCGACGAAAGGTGGCCCACCGGTTCCGATCATGGCTCGGATTCCGGTCTTTGCCAACGGAAACTTAAAGGGGACTTCCATTCTGTCCAATTCGTCGCGAATTAGCCGACTCGTCTCGAATTCCTCAAAAGCAAGCTCAGGGTTCTCGTGAATTCTCCTCCTCAGCCCCTTCAGCCACTGGACATTTTCCGGCTGCTTTGCGAGCTGGAGCACCTCCTCGGAACATGCCGCCGTCCAAGTCGTGCAGTCCGGTTGCTCCACCGTGGGCCTCCGCCGCAGCGAGGTCAGGTTCTTTTGGTCTTCTATATCCTTGTTCAAGCAGAATTTTCCATCAAAGTATGAGAAGTCATGATCAGTAGTAGATTTTGCTACAAGTAGTGAAGTGAGGATTGTGATCAAAACTACAAGACATGGGTTTTGAGAATTCATATTAAGAAATTCAGAGAGAGAGAGAGAGAGAGAGAGGAGAGAGAAAGTGGGTACAGAGGGTAGAATGAAAGAGGGGGAAAGAGGAAGAAGAAGTAAATGTCTCTATGTAGAGTACAGAGAGGAGAGAGAGATGGGAATATGACCACGTGGGGATAATGAATAGGGCCCATATCCATCACGTGGTCGAATTTGTTGTAGTCGCATAAAAGGTTCGTCGATTAAGGCGTCGAATTGTACTAGGTGGGCCCACTACTTCCGTCAACCCTTGAAATTTACCCCCACTTAGATGCATCGGTACTTTTTCGATACTAACTATTTCTAGCGTGGGAAACGTTAAATTTGGATGAAAATGTGAATGAATATAAATAAGATAGTATGTAAAATTATTTAATAATTTAAATTTTTAAATAAATAAACAAATATTCATATGTTACAATTGATATCAGAATAGATCTAATTCTTAATCTGATATCATGTCAAATCTATAATTTAAAAAGTATTTAAGTTTGTATCCTTGATAGGTAGAATAGGTCCGCACTATAATGAAAAGAGAATTTATTTTACATCGGATTCGGAAAAAAAAAAAAAAAATGAGTATATCAATAACTTAAACTTACGTGGAACACTTTAGTCAATTTCATTTATACAAGTGGTCTTGAGTTCGCCACTTTCATCAACCTTCAAATTTTACATTCTCTTCAATGGCATCGGTACGTACTATTATTATACTCTTGACGACTTAGAGTATTGGTTGAATTTTATCTTCGTGTACTTTTCTTCTTCATAATATATATATATATATATTAGGGTTTGGCAATTATTGGTTGGATTGTGCTGAATATGATGAGTTGGATGAGAAATGCATTTCACATTTAAAAAATGAGAAGTCAATTCTAGGAAGCGAATAGCAACTTGATGGTCACTACTTGGTGGTGGCGTTCAATGTCTGGAGAGTTTTTTTAGGGTTAGATAAAATGATTAAGCCAGTGACAAAGATATTTTGGGCGGGTACAGTGTCACAAGACCATTTAGGATTGCCGTAGTTGACTTGTATATCTAATCTATATATCTATATTCAGATTTAGTGTAATTCTCTAGGTTTAGCTTGCAAAAAATAGAAACTAATTTAATTACCCAAAAAAAAAAATATATATATATATATATATATATATAAACTAATAGTAATACAGGACAGTGTGCTTATTAAGTGTAGGTCCCACTTTTACCCTAGAGGTTAGAGATACCCTTTTTACTACAAAGTGACAAATGCATAATTTGAAGGGGAAGCCAATAGAAAATTGTATTAAAGCAAAAGATGATCTCAAGTTAAAAACTGAAAATATTATTAATGAATGAACCAAGAAAAAATAATCCAAAATGTCATCATCTCTTACCATCAGAAAATAGAGGACATGAGACTTAATCACTAAAAATAAATAAATACAAAACATCCTCTCAATCAAGGTAGGTTTTAACAAAGAATTTACGTATAAAATGAGAGAGATTGATGAATATTGATCAATTGAATATGTGTCTCTACTCTCTAGTCAAAATGTGTCAGTCAGTCTGCCAATTTGATCTTTCGACAATTCAAACGTTTCATAAATATTGATGATCTATTCTGCATCGACATTACCATCACAAAATAGAGGACATGAGACTTGATCACTAAAAATAAATAAATACAAAACATCCTCTCAATCAAGGTAGATTTTAATAAAAAATTTAAGTATGAAATGAGAGAGACCGACGAATATTGATTAATCAAATATGTGTCTCTGACTCTCTAGTCAAAACGTACAAAATGTGTCTGTCAGTCTACTCATTTGCTCTTTTGACAATTCGAACGTTCCATAAACATTAACGACTTATTCTGTATCGACATTCACCCGTTACTTTAAAAATCTTTTATCATTACATCAAGTAGCGAAAAAAATTTTGAATTTTTTTTTCTATTTTTTGTTTTTAGAAGTTGATCATTGATTTGATTTTATATTTATTTAGAGGCTTTAGATTATGATGAATTAATCAAACTAACTTTGGTCTTGGTCAAAAAAAAAAAAAATTGAATTGTCCAAGTTCATTTCATAAAATATCGGAAACAAAATTTGAACAAACTTTTAGTCAAATTGATTTTTTGTTGAAGTTGAGTAGTTAATTATAAACAGTGAATAATAATGATTGCTAAGTTTTTCCTCAAATCAAACATGATCTTAGTACAACCATATACCACCAAATAAGTTCAAAGGTATCTTCCAACTAACCATGTCTCAAGAGTTTTTATGTTGCAGTGAACCCGTCAAAAATATATGTTTTTCTTCCGTTTTTTATCATTTCACTTCAGTGTAATTATTCGATGCGAAAATTATTATTATTATTTTTTACTCTTTAGGGAGACAATGGAATCTAACCAACAAAATGAATAACGTAATAAATTTCAATAAGAGTAATGATAGGGAGTTTTAAGATCGAATACATCTAACTAATTTCTTGTGAATAAGGGTTGACATTATCATGACATCATGATGATGTCAACTCTTAATTACATAAATTAATTGTATTTGCTCCTCCTCCTCTTCCTTTTTTTTTTTTTTTTTTGCAACAAAGGTGTTGCCACAAATCACAGGAATCTAAGTACACAAGCATAAATAAAAATTTTAACGTCCACATAATTTAGTCTAAATTTTAACGTAACACTTTTGAATCATATCCAGGATGTTCTTTGGATCATATTCAAAGACACCGAAGATTTTATTTTTGGTTTTTATCAAAACACCGACGAATTAAAACACCAACGAATTTTAACATAAGACTTTTGAATCATATCCAATGATGTTCTCTGGATTATATTTAAAGGCACAGACTATTTTGTTATTAGTTTTTATCAAAACACCGACGAATTTTACCGTAAGACTTTTGAATCATATCTAAAAATATTCTCTTGATCACCAACGAATTAAATGCGTTGTTTCATACCACGATTTTGAACTTTTTGTTAGAAAGAGTCATGGCAACAACCTTTTTCAGTTGGTGATGGAGAGCAATATGCCTAAATGTGAAAATTGAGGGACGTCAATTCCCCTCATTTAAATAATGTGGCACGTCAATTCTCTACCATTTATTCAGGTTGTGGGAATTGGGGACCATCTACATACATATATGTGTGTGTGTGTATATATATATATATCAATAAATGTGACTATTTAAACAAATCGTGGTGGATGGGCTGCTTTGATGACCAGAAAAGGAAAGAATAATATATAGAAAATGAGTAGCATTTTTCATCTTTCGTGTCGTTTTCATGTGTAAGGTTTGGTCGTGACTACGCATGTGTGTCATAATGGTATGGTGGTGGTTACCGGATTACACAAGCACATGTTGTTGTTGGTTCTTGGAGCTTGGGAATCAAAATATTATAATATTTGTATATTCTTATTAGATTTTTAGTAAGGGAGTATATGTTTTTTTAGGTTAATCTTTTAAAGAGTAAATACTTGTACAACCTACAAATGTTGATTGTGGTAATCTAACTCTTATTCTCCCATCAAAGGCTATTTAGCCTAATAATATAACTTCTCCATCTTAAAAAAAAGATAAGAGCAGTTCAAGTCCGAGTATGAACGAAAAGTGTGTACGAGTGTATACCAAATCGTATAAATGTATCTCTTATCAAGTTATATATATATATAAAATAAAAATAAAAATAAAAATAAAAATAAAAACTCATATTTTCTTTCCTTTTGAGATAGGGGAGGTTAAACCAGTTACATTAGCGGGCTAATAATTTTTAGTATGATAAATTACATTGACCTCCTTGAGGTTTGGGCAAATTATAAACGGGTAAATCGTTCATCGTTTAGTATTTTGACCTTTTCTAATCCCAATCATCGATTACTAGAAGTGATTTTGAGTGTAAAAAGTCAGTAATACCCTTAAATAATATTATTTATATTGCATTTTATACAAGGGAATGGCAAAATTATCATTTTATAAAATTTGGTCAACAGGTCTATCAAATAAGAAAAAAGAATCTAGGGTGCCATTAAGCATGTGTCAAACCTTAAGGGAAGTCAAATTAATAAATGATGAACGGTCTGCTGTATGTAATTTGCCCAAATCGTAGAGGAGGTCAATGTAATTTTTTATTTTTTTCTACGGTTACATAGAGTTGTCAAATCCTATCTATTATATTAACTAAGAGCAATGTTATACAATTGCCGACATTGTCACAACAATTGAGAGAGACAAAAGTGTGTGAGGTCCATCACTTTACACCCCCTATCTCTTAGTCGGTGTTGCAAGTCATCAATTATAGACATTTCCATTAAATAAAGCTCTTCTATCAAATTTGTGTTATAGCAATTAAGGAGCAATTGACTGAGTTAACCCAATGTTAGTGTGAGTGGAGTTGATTTCTCAAGAGGTAGGCTCAATTGAGTTCTTAAGAGCTATAAACGAACCGAGCCGAGCCGAGTTTTAGGCTGTTTAGGCTCGGACTCGTTTGTCTATAGCTCGGGCTCGAACTTGTCATGGTATTAAAGAGCTCGGGCTCGGCTCATTTAATAAATTAAATTAAACTAATGTTCAAAATTTGCTCAGGCTCATTAGCAAGCTCGCCAAGCTCGTTTAGTAAATCATTACATTTTTATTTTATACTTTCAAAAATTAAAAAATTCCAACAAAAAAAAAAAAAAATGTAAACGAGCCTTTAACGAGCGTATTGTTCATGAACATATACAAGCTTTTATATGAGCATATGTTCACGAATATAAACAAGCCTACACGAGCCGAGCCTAACACTGATCGGGCTCGACTTGTTTAGTAAACAAGCCTAGAAATTGAGTTCGAACTCGGCTCGTTTGCTTAATGAATGAGCCCAAGCGCGAGCTCGAACTGTTCATGAGCAGCTCAGTTCATTTGCAGCCCTAGTTCTCAGGAGGCTACAATGTTCCACACTTTTATATTTTCTCGAGCGAACGGCAATTAAGGCATGATTGCCATAATTACCTAAAAATAATATTTTTCACTAATTCAATCATTTTTCTTAGCAAATTGGATTATGTTTGATCATCATTATCACTCTTACCTTTATCCATATGGATGAGTTTCA